GGATAGTCAACGTGGCTTCGTCAGAGGGAGGTCCTGCCTAACAAGTTTGATTGAGTTTTTTTGAGAAGGTGACCAAGCATGTCGATGAGGGTAGTGCAGTTGATGTAGTTTATTTGGGTTTCAGCAAACCTTCGACCAGGTCCCATATAGGAAACTTATCGAGAGGGCAAATGCACATGGGATACAGGGTAATTTGTTAAATTGCATTCAAAATTGGCGCAGTTGTAGGAGACAGAGGGTGCTGCAGAAGGTTGCTTTAGTGACTGGAAGTCAGTGTCCAATGGTGTACCACAGGGGTCTGTGCTGGGTCTTCTATTATTCGTCGTTTGTATAAATGACATAGGTGACTGTGTCAGATGTTGGATTAATAGGTTTGCAGATGACAGAGATTGATTCGGTGGTTAACAGTGAGGTTGAGTATCTTGGGCTACAAGAAGATCTAAATAGGACGGTCAAATGGATAGTTAAGTGCACATGGATTTGAACCCTGCAAAGTGTGAGGTGATGCACTTTGGTAGGAATAATTCAACAAGAAAGTATTCAATGAACAGCATGACACTAGATTGTTCTGTGGAACAAAGGAACCTTGGCGTGTTTATCCATAGATATCTGAAGGTTTTTCTGACTCTTTATACCTTTCCAATTTATTTTAAAATGTACTTTGTTAAAAAGAAAATTGATTAGTTTTGCTTAATCTACCTAACAGTAGTTGTGATCTTAATTTATCTAGCAATTGAAAGAAATGCTGTTTCATCTTATCAAAGCAGCAGTGAAAGGTAATCTCACTGATTGTCATATGATGGTCCAGGTAATCTTGGAGCTAATTTTAGCTGGTATGAGCTTCTAGGAATTTTTTTTTTGTCAAAGTACCATGTGCAGATTTAACCTACTTGATCCACTTCATCTAGCAAAGGGATTGAAAAGATTAAAAAATGGTATCTGGCATTTAATGTGGAAATGGTCAGTTATTGGAAAGTTGTCTCATGGTATAACTGCTTACTAAAGGTTGATGAAAGTAATTCTCACATTGACTTGTGCAGAAAATATTTTGGAGATCTGTATTAAATTCCACAAGTGAAAACCAATGTTTAAAACTTAAGTTAAATCACAAGAAGTCATTTTCAAGAATGTTCAACATAGTCCAATCTTACTTATTCCTGGTGAGAAGCACAAAAATATATTTGAGCCACAGTAAGCCTTAAAATTTAACTTGACTGAGGAACTGTTTGCCTGTCTATGATCTGAGCTGCTATCCCCAATTTAATCGCAGTTTGTGCTTAGTTAGCCGAGTCATCAAAAAGTGTGCTCTAGTTGGGCATGGTTCACGTCCTACATACTCATTGGAAGACACTTCACCTCCCTGCATTCCATTTCTTTTCCTCTATTTTGTTGCCTTTCCATAATTATAGGTTAATATTTTGCATTCATTCCCCTCTCTCAACTTCTGCAAATAACACAATAAATTGAAGCTGTTGACACTTGATTCATGCATTTTTAAACAATTACGACAAATGGTGGGATGGTCTGTATTTTTACCCTGTGCTGGGTCTCTCCTTCATATTTTTGCACTCCTTTCCAGTTTTACTGATTGACTTCATCTTCCACAAGTCATGCTTCGTGGTCTGCAGCCATTCCTATGTTGAAATCTCCTTTTGGGTAATAATGTTCTGACTTGATGATCCTGCTGATAGCTACATGAAGTTCTCTTTAGGACTGTTTCTTTGCCCCAGGTGCAATACAGCATTGGAGCATAGATGCTATGAGGTTAACTGTTTGAACCGAGAGTCAGGTAGAGAGAACTTGTTATGAACCATTTGTGTGATCTTATCAGTTAGAATAACGAGTTCCTTATGGTGAAGTCTACACCTTGCTTGCACATTTGCTCTGAACGCTCCCTCTGATCATGCAATATTTTTTGTTTAAGTCATCTGTTTTCATCAAGCCTGCTCTTTTATAATGAAGCTATGTCGATGGTCAGCCTATCAAGTTCCATACTGAACACCATGATCTTGCTTGTGCTATTGACCAGCTGCAACCCACCTCTCAATCAGTCCTGTGTGCGTGGCCTGGATGTTTCAACTTGCCAGTCAAAAGGTTGGCATCTTTTTGTTTTGTTTGCCTGGTATGATGAATTCTGCCCATTTATTGAGCAGGCACTATAAACTCCGAGTACCCAAAGAAGCACATGGACTATGGTAGGTCAGCAGTTTTCTATTTGAGGGCTGCCCGACTTGAGATGAGCAATGACTGACCATTGGGACATAATTGTGCTTCCCAGCATAGGAGGCAGCATGTAACACGCTTTCTCTCTGCTAGTTGATTCACCATGCATAACTAATGTCTCCTGTTTTGTTTTAACGCCCTGCAGCAAAATTGGAATATCCTTTCTCGGACACAAACCTAGACATGAGTTAAGGATACCCTGGGATGGGCTGTCCAAACATCAGTGTCCCCTTCACAAACTTTGTGTTTGAGATTCCGTGTGTCACCATGAGGAGGTCCACTGGAGGGCTTGCTGAATGCTGATAGGGAGAAACGCTTTGGCCGTCTTTTCTGAATTGCTGCTAGCCAGTAATTTAGACTGAAAATGAGAATCGCAAAAGCATAAAACATGGTTCTTTTTTACCTGAGGACTAGATGCATCACATCTTTTTGGACACAGATTTGATTAGCTCAGTTATTTAGATGACTAGTGGACAATTCAGAATAACACTGATGGTGTAGTGATTCTGCCTGATGTGCACCTAGTCTCCTATTGAAAATGGAAAGCAATAGCAAAGCATCACTGATAAAACTGAGCCATCGGTAGACAATACACCAATGACCTGCCTTTATAATTAACTCACTTTAATAGATTGCACAGCAAATTTTAAAATAAGATAAATTTTTATTAAAACTCAAGATGAAAGAAAATGGCACATTGTAATTATGCTTCACGTAACCCAAAATTCTATTTCACAATAATAAAGTTAAGAATTTATTAGCAGTACTCTGAAGTATAAGCTTGGACATGCTGGTGTTGAAAAGCGTTGACCTGAGAAATGAACTTACTGGTAATGTTCATTAACCTTCAACCCCTTAGCACACATTGATTCCACTGTGAGATGATAATTGTTCCAGGAATGCAGAATCATAACTCTGCTTTCCTACTGACTGATCTTCGTAGTTATAGAGGGGGTAAATCAAGAAGGAAACCGAAAATGTGTTTATATCCTGATTTATGTATATATCAGTTTCTTGAGTGGTGTGACAGCTGTAGATATCAGACTACGCTAGTGCCACACCACCACTTAGGTGATTATTGCTGCAGACAGCTTATGTGCAGTAGTTTTGGATTGAGCATCATTATCCTATAAAACATTAAATCAAAGGCAACATTATGAATTCATTGTGAAATTGATAATATTAGATTACCATATACCGACATTGTGTAATGTTTTCTTTGCAATATTTTGCCCCAGACTAACTAGGAAAAAGAATTGAGATTGAAAGAAAATTTATAATAAAGTTATTTTACAGAAACTAGGATCATAACAGAGCTGTATTTTTGACCTTTTTTGTTTCAAATATTACTTGCTTAATAACCATTAAGCAATTAAAGTTTATTTGTTGCTGTTTTGAATAGTATCTTGTAAGTAATCTTTTTATTTTCACTTGTAGGTTCTAACTGGATTGTGCTAACGGCAGATGATGATGGATTTGCTCCATTAATGTTCAAACCAAATCAGGAAATTATTATTCGTGATGGGAGGCTAAGTACAGGACCTATAGAATTCCCCCCACCTCCATCTCCAACCGACAGTATCAATTTGGAAACCCAGAGAACAATGTAACCTGCTCTGCACGTGGTCACATGTAGTGAAGTACTTTCTTTAACCTAGTTATTATGTATTGTGTTCATATATGAGCAAATGAATAATGAAGTCGTTCGAATTTATATGGCAAGGTGGCTGATCATAAAGTGTTTGTTCTTTTTGCTGAGTCTGCATTGGAAATGTAAACATAGGAGTAGGACATTCAGGTCCTCAAGACTGTTCTGTCAATCAATTGCTTATATATCCCTTAAATGCATTAATCTGCTTTGGTTGAATATCCTTTTAAACTCTTGGCTAGAAAAAAATTCATCAGTCTGAGATTTAACAATATTAATTGAGCTAGCATTTTCTGCTTCTTGTGGGAGAAAAGTGCACAAAGAAATGTTTCCTAACTCACCATCTGAATGACCCAGTGATGATTTTACAGTTACATCCATTAGTCCTAACTGCTGAAAAGGTTTCCCACCAGCCACCCAATCAATTCCTTTCAATTTCTCAAATTCCTCCATTACTTTCTTCAGTCATGGCAAAAGGTTCCCGAGTTGCTGGCTGTTATTCACAGAGTAGCTTTAATGTAACTATCACATGGTTTTTCACAAAAAAAGTATAAAGCAAAGTGTCACAGCAAATGACATGATAGGCTTGGTCACATCATAAGTTTTGAGGAGGTTCTTAAAGTTGAAAGTGAGGTGTAAAGTGGGATTTCCTGAGTTTAGGCCTTACACAGCTGAAGGCTCCAGTGAAAATTAGAAATGCTTAAGAGTTCTGAATTAGATCAGTGCAGGTATGTCAAAGGATTAGGAGACAGGTGGAGATTATGAAGTCCTACGATGGTACAGAGTTGGCAATGGTGGTAACATGCATGTGTGGTCAGAAGTTTATCTCCAGGCCATATATGGCAATAAGGTTGCAGACTGTTTGGTTTTGTGTCAGACAGTTGCCAGGAAGGGTGGTGATGAGTATCATCAACATGTGTGAAAACTCACACTGTGCTTTCGGAAGATGTCACTGATTGACATTGCAGTTGAGAAATAATAAGTGGCCAAGGATAGATCTTTAGGGGACATCAGAAGTCATGCTGAAAGAGCAGAAAGAGAAACCTCTTTACCAGTGTTTCTCCAGCTATGATTTGGATGGATAAAAATGAAGCCAGGTGAGTTCTTTGTATTTGAATGATAGTGAGGAGGTGTTGGATGAGTGTGGTATGATCAACAGTATCAAAGCCTGCAGACATGTCCAGAAAGACAAGGAGGAAATGTTTACTATTATCACAGTAATACAGGGTATCATTTGTCACTTGATAAAACTGTTTTAGTAACGTGCCATGGCAGAAATCTGGACTGGAAGGAATGAAACATGAAGATTTTGGAAAAATAGGCATGGATTTGAGAGTCAACAATATGTTCAACAGCTTTGGAAAGGAAATGGAGATGGAAGGGAGGTTTTCAAGGTTGCTGAGGTTGAGGGTTGTTGGGTTTTGATGACAGGTCTTATGATAGCAGATTAACAATGTCAGCTAACAAGGGAACCATGAGTGCAGTTGGGGAAGAAGCAGTTCAATAATAATAGAATTGAGAGCATGGGAGAAGGGGTTCACGGACAAACAGTACAAAAGCTCAGAGGCTGAAGGAAGCTATGAATTCAGGACTATGACAGGAAGGGACCGCTGGAGAAAATTTGGTCAAGTAGGTTGTTGGAAGGTTTCAGAGCTGTTGGATGATCATAATCTTAGTGACAAAAGGCCATGAGTATCTTGCATTAATTGGGGCAACACTAATCGCAGGTCTGCCCAGCAAAAAACAACCAAAGCTTTGGCTTATGTCGTGAAAGTGGAGTTCAGCTGAACTCCAATGTGGACACTTCATAACAGGGGACCGATTGGAGCCCAAGCACTCACTAAATTCCCTGGAACTGGCACTACTTGTGATAGTTTATAGGTAAAGCGTGGTGGGCATCCAGATGGTTTTCCAGCAGTGAATGTGCTTACCTCGTCAGGTAGATGAAAGAGCCTCCCTCTGACCATTCTGCTCTGAAGCGAATCAGCAGGGGAGGTGTGTACCTGCATTTACTCGTGTGCTCCCAGAAATTCTTGGCAGAGTTTAATCCTCTTTTCCCTAGCTACGAAAGAATAGTTTGAAATGTTTTATCTCGGTTTTTTTTTTAATCCCAGCGTTGCTATTGCAGGTAATTAAAACAGGAGGATAAAGTCCTAAATTATAAAAAGAAATCCAATCCAAAATGTTTTAAATGGTAAAGATTACAAAGTTCTATTAAAATAAAACTTAATGATTTTTATTTAGAAAATGGTTGGAAAAACTCAGCAGATCTGGCAGTATCTGTGGAGAGAG